TCCGTACCGAGTACTACAGTACTAACGTACTAAGAAATAAACAAGCCGTGATGAGTTGACCGTACCGAGTACTACAGTACTAACGTAATAAGAAACGAGAATCACTTCGTGAATTTTACCGGGGCCACTTTTGCCTTGGTAACCCACGTTTAGACTAGCATGCATAAGGGTTGTTTACATCACCAAGTTTGTCGCGCGATATGAAAGTCTATTTTATCACAAATATTATTTTGAGAAAAAAATTGTAATTACGGAAGACTTGTTCCAATAGCACACTGTGCCCGCGTTTTTAAAAACTATAGACATAGTATAATCAATATCACTATGTTTTTTCCGTATTTACTGGCAATTTTGGTGGATTTTCAAAGTTTTTGAAAGCGATTTAATCGGTTGCCATGGAAACTGTATTGTTTACACTTCATTTTCTGTTTTAGAATACTGGTGACTAGTTTTCGGAATACAGGAGACACTTAAAGGATACATACACAACCTTGTTTTGGTAAATTTCGTAGTGTTAAACAAAACAAAAGGAGATTTGTTAATATTCAATACACAAAGAAGGAAAGCGCAGCGACAAAATCGTTCTAGATCGAGAAAAAGCAAGCAAAAGTAGCAGAGAACCAGTGTGACGAAGGCCACGTGGAAACCGCCGAACACCAAAATACTGAGAAACGCTTGTCAGCTTCTGTTTGCAGACTCAAGGAATAGCACAGTGATTCTTCTGAAAACTGCACTAGCGAGGAGGAAATCGATTCAGGAGTATCAGAAGGACTTCGTTTCATTAACATTTCAGTTCTTGCCTCCGTGTTTGAAACTGTTCGGTGCCCATTGTGTAAACAAGGACATGCTGTTTTGGAAGAAGAGAAAATGGGCCTAGCATCTCTTCTTATTTTAAAGTGCTCGTCATGGAAGTGTAAATTTGAGAAGCTGTTTTACACATTTAACAAAGTGGTCAACAGCCAGGCATCCGAAGTAAACAGAGGAGTGGTTCTGGCGACAAGAAATATAGGTGTTGGTCATCAAGGCCTTGTCAAGT